TTGAATAAACACACTATTTAAACACATTTAACCACATGAGGGAAGGGTGCACACAATAGGTAATCAGGGAGACGCTCAGACTGGTGACACAACAGGAAGTGCAAGTGACCTGAAACGAGATGAGGGTTATTCTTCAAAATAAAACAGAAAAATGACAAGACCAGAAAAAGACAAGACGAAAACCCCTCAACCAGGACCACCGGCCTCTTCTCTGCTGTCACCAGGCCACAAAGAACACACAACACACACACAGAAACCCCGGTCCTTCACACAGGCCTCCACTTCTCTGTCATATCAGAAGATGTTCTGAAAGGAGAGCAAAACCTGATGTGATATCGTGTTGGTTTGATCCATTACTGGAAATACTGTCAGCATTAAAGACCCCATCCTTCATTTTTGGGAAACTTTAGTTTTTGGACTTGTTTTTCCAGCCTGTTTTATAATTATTGCATTAGGCCTGCATTTAAACATTTTTATTCCTATGAGAGGAAATCATATTCCCATGTCATGCATTGCATGGCCTTATATGAATATCCTGCTTCTACTATTTTTAGAGATCTGAAGCTTATTGGACCTCTACTTGGATGCTTCTCCAATAACCACTGCAATTCAATTAAAAAAGACTTTATTTACCCCAGAGGGAAATTTCCAAATTTCCAATTGCAGTTTCATGAAGAGGTTGGTCAGGGTTGTCCATAATGTTCTTGATCTTATCTGCAACATCATCTTCAGAGGTTCTACAGTTGTCCCCAGAACAGAATCAGCTTTCTGGATGAGGTTCCTGGGCCTTTTTAGGTCCCTGGCTCTGATGCTGTTGCCCTGACAGATGACAGCAGAGGAGACCACACTTACAGTAATAATTCATATTCTTTCACAATAAGCCTTTTATCCTTTCTACACCTTCTCCTGCCTGTGGAATTACTCCAGCTTCCACTTAGAGAATATTAGCTGATGCACACCGACACTGGACGTGTTTTAAATGTGTCTAACGCCAGAGTTTTCCAAATAATGACACGTTCAGGTCTCCCACCATCATCAGTAACCCGGACCAGCATATGCCGGGTCATATAATCTCGTTTTGATCTGTGGCGTTTGCTCTCAGACCTCATTTATCTTTGTTCTGTTTCTAACTGATATACTTCCTATTTTTCTCTTTGCTGGGGTTGCAGCCCATACAGTTAGATTCCAGTATTTGGCAGTAGTTAGCACTCGCTAGCATGTGTCACGTGTGTCCCTTATTTTTATTTCTGAATGGTTAGGGTTAGAGAATGGTGTCTCTCTGTCTTACACAAAGAATAGCTTTTGCTAAAATGTCTGTATTCCTCTGTTCTCAAATGAGTCCACATAAAAAGTGTCATGTAGGTGGGTTCTTGAAGGGAGGACTCAGGTGCGGAGATGACGGAAAACAAGGTTTATTGCAACAAAAAGTGGAAGTCCAGACAGGATACACAAACACGGCTGTGGCAAACTATGAGCAAAGTAACAAAATAAAGATTAACAAAACTGTGACAAAACTGTGACCAAAAGCAAACCTGGCGTGGGGGTGCCGAAGGACAGACGGACAAGACGGACAAGAACGCACTCGCACAAGACAAGGGGAAACGAGGACTATTTAAACACATGAGGGAGGGGAACCCCAGGTGACACAATAGGTAATCAAGACATGACGAGACACCAGACGTGACAAAAAGAACATTTTATGTGATGTTATAATTAACATTCTATGTTCTGACGATACTCTAAACCGCCCCTAGGAGTGACTGTCTGTGTGCTTCCCGTCCATAATCAGCCGGGATGGACTGCCCCCCTCACAGCCCCACGGGGAAAAAGCGGTTTAGATAATGGGTGGATATCTGTGAGCAGCGTGAACCTGGTGTAATTTTGGATTCTCCCAGACGTGCAGTGAACCCAAACCCAAAGCACATCTCCCTTTTTTCTCTTTCACACACACACTTAAGTGTCTGACTTTTCAAATGTCCTATAACAAATCCCATTGCCGGGCTTAACTCAAAAGATTTAAAAAACAGGCTTCATTTAATCTTGTTATGTTTCACAGTGAAGATGTGACATAAAGCACACATTCATTTGAGGCTCAAAATAGACACTCAGGGATGAAAGAAAACAGGAAAGCTAGTTTTGTTTTTAAGTCTCAGAAATATAGAACAAGTTTTGCATTTAAGTCGGACTGAGGGAGAGTAGCCAATAAAATAAAAGGAGAGTTATTAACAAAGGAACTCTGGGATTCATAAACAGATTGTAAGAACAAGAAGTGGATGGAAGTTATTTTTCCAGAAGGATGACTTTGACTTTTTGGTTCTTTTGGTTCTGCTGGTTCTTTAAGAGCTCAGGGAAAGGATGTTAATTCCTTAACCCTTTCCAGTCTGATCCATGAAAAAATACAGATATTTTTTTTATTGTTTAAAGTTTTTATTTTATTAACAAATGAAATATAACAGAAATCATTCTTGAATATTCATCATTTATTACCATGCGATAAGTCTAAATTATTGTCTTCTGCCTGCTGCTATCAGGTATATTTGATTGTGCACAACCGTATTTTGAGCAGAGTTTTTACAATTAAATGATGCAAAAGGTTTTAAGTTGAAACATGCTGGCAAATATAAATACAAAAAGAAGTAATAATTTGAGTTTCCATAAAACTTAGCCAGTGTTATACCACTGAGGACAACACACAAACTGGCACAGAGAAATGAGAAGACTTGATTATTAAGCACTTCATACAAGGTCAGCCGTAGCTGCAATGGACCCTGGGAAACAGGAATGAGGCAATCAAAAAAGGAAACAAGCCATGAACAAAACTGTGGTGATCCTAACACCTCCTAACACTCCTCTGGGAAGTGTGAGGACTGGGTGGTGAATCTGGGGGTGGCCCTAAACTGTTAGCCCTACTTATTGTCTTTATTTAAAATGTTTCATAATAACTTCTGAAAGCAACGAGGGCCATACAGCACAAATGTGCAATAGGTTAGATGGTGATATTAATGAGACTATAATAGTGTGAGTGAGCATAGTTGTTTGTTTAATTACAGGAGTTTATTTACAGGAGTTACCCCACCTTTTGCCCATTGTTAGCTGCTCCAGCTAACGCTTTGATTTGGAGCCCTGGATTGAATTATAAATGTACAGAAAATAAATGGCTAGATTAATATTCGTACGAACTTTGAGAATGTCCATAAACTATTTGTGCTGGAGAACATGTATGAAAATAAGTTTTATTTTAACGTTTGTTTTTATGATTTTGGAGTGGAATTTGACTATAATGTGCTTGTTTTTTTACCGACTTATTCTATATATCTGTTGTTATTCCACAAGTGTCAGGACCTACCCTATGGACAAATTATAGAACAACCAAACAGAAGAGTGAAACATCCTTAAGATCCAGAGAAAAGTCCATTTGTATTTATTCAGGCTCTTATGAGACAGTCCTCTTTCCAAACATGGTCACATAGACTCCCATAGTGGCTCTTTACAGTATTTTATTGAATGACATTTCGGGTCACATTGAAGGGAAAGTTCAGTTATTTATAAGGGCACTTTGTTGGAAGATATGTGTATAAAGACAATGCTTGAAAACATCTTTTCCAGGAACACTCCTGCATTTTTCAACAGAATATTGGCATTTGCACACATTATAAAGGGACGGATGAGGAGAAAAGGGGTACAGGCTCTGGACTGTCTTGAACTTATCTGCAAAAAGAAAATGCTTGCAAATTCAGAAAAGAAAAAAAAACACAATATACCTGAGCTGTCAGGCAACTAAATATATGTCTGCCTGAGAATATTTCATTTTTAAAAAACTTTTCATTAAGTTTGATGCAGCAACTTGAAAGATGAACATGTCTTTCTGCTCAACAAATAATTTCCTGTCCATCTGTCCATTGTGTTTCATTTAGTCTCAGATAATCACCACTTAAAGTCATTTATCGGCGTGTACATCATATGTATTTGTTGTTTGTTAAACATTTAAATCATTGGAAATTGTATTTTTATTCATGAAAATTAAAATCTTCTACAGACTTAATCTAAGATGGAAAACGTCTCAATAGAAATGATGACTCCCATTTGTTTCAGTGATGTAGGCTGTAACGAAAAGCATTTCTCCACTAAATGAGGCTCGTACAATGAAAGACCTTGTGATACATGGAGGTTACAGGGAGTTTAAGGTTTGAGGGAAATTTCCTTCTGAAAGGATCTGGTGCCCCCTTTAGGAAGAGAGCCAAATTATTCAAGTTTCTGCCAGAATGAAAAGAGCAACAAGGGTTAAGGAATGATTATGTCCACTTTTATTTAAAAGTTTTTAAATGGATAGCCAATAAAGTAAGGTATAGTTGAAATTAAGTACATTTCAATATTTAATTAGAAAGGGACCCAGTTCTTCCACAAAGTCGTTGTTCATTTTCTTTTGATTAAAGAGCTACATGAATAGATTCTTTGGAACTCGTCTCTGCTGAAAATAATAAGTTGTATGATTTGCACTGTGTAACATTTAAATCAAATGGAATACAAAGGTGGTTTAGATTACTGCACTGAAAACTAAAGCTGAGATTTTAACCAAATGCCCATTCATTAATTGATTCAAGGAATAAGAAGCCTAAAGGTCATACTGGGTGGGAGAATTTTCACTTATATACACATATATATATATGTGTGTGTGTGTGTGTGTGTTTATGTATATATATATATATACATATATGTATTCTGAAAAAAAGTGGGAGTTGAATCTTTTTTTTTTTTCCCAAACTCAAAAGCATTGATGCTGCTGTAACTAAACGGTATTCGGTGGCCGGGCATCTCCTTTACTGCTCATGTGAGGGCGGTTTAATCACTTGTAAGGCTTGATTTAGTGTGTGTTAATAAACATTAGCATTCTCCCCTGCTCATTAGTGGTTTATGGCCCGTGCTCTCCGCAGGCTGGGGACGCGGTCCTGAAGATTGATGGAGGGCCATGCTGTTCAAACAGCAGGCATTGCTGAGACAGAAGCTCCTGGTTCTGGGCAGCCTGGCAATCGGAAGTGTCTTGTATCTAGTGGCCAGGGTTGGGACTTTGGATAGGTAAGTCATTATCAAGTTTTTAACCTCCTGAGACCCGAGCTTTTATTTGGCATGCATTTTAGCTT